TTTTTTTGTATATCTGCCTAACTGGATTAGTTTAAAAGATTATTTTTCAAGCTGTGCAATTCTTCCTTCTGCTTGGTCTAGTCAATTGATAATTTGTTAAATTGTATTTTGAAATTTCGTAAGTGAGCTTTTCAACTCCATAAGATCTCATTGATTTCTTTTGGAGGTGTTTATCTCTTCTTTCATTTCCCAGATTGCTTTAGAAGTGCATGTCTATTTTCAGCCTTCTTTTGGATCTTGTTGAGCTTCCTTGTAATTCATACTTTGAATTCTTTATTAGTCATTTCTGAGTTTCCATTTTGGCTAGGAACCATTGCTTGACAGCTAATATGATCCTTTGGTGGTGTTATTACATTCAAATTTTTTGTGGTGCCTGAGTTCTTGCCCTGTTCCTTCTCATCTGGGGCATTACTGCTTCCAATTTTTGTAGTCATTTTAATGTGGATAGGACTTTTTCCTTTTTCTTTCTTTCTATGTAACATTATTGGAGTTTTTTCCTTTCTCTTTCCCCCTCCTTCCTTGGGGGTATAACTGTAGACAATGTTGGGTAGGGGCTTTTGACTTTGCTTCTAAGCCCTATGCACATGTATCAGCAGGTTTTATATTGGGCTATGGGGCCTAACCTACAGGCCAATAGATGGCACATAGAGCTAAGTCAGCTGAGGCAAACACAGCTAGATAGATGCCTGACCCTTATTTACTGGGAGAAAGGATGGGCCAGGCTGATGATCCAGGTGAGCAGATGGTCTGAATACCTGGAAATCTGTCTAGGTGTAGAGCAGAGACAGCCCCACTTCACCACAATGTCTGCACAGGAAGAATGGGGCAGCTCAGGCTGCTGATCATGGCAAGTAGGTGCTCTGCCTGCCTGAATGTGAAGCTGAGAGGGTGCCCTCCACATAGATCTCTGCAAAGGAAGAGTGGGGTGACTCAATCTGCCAATGCTGGTGAGCAGGTTCTTTGAATGCCTGGAGATCTACCTATGTGTGGAACAGAGAGGGCCCCACTGCACCACAGTCTCTGCACAGAAAGGGTAGGGTGGCTCAGGCTGCTCACCTAGGTAAGTGGGTGCTCCAAATGCCTGGAGATCTCTTCAGTTTCTTTCATCAGTTTTTTAAACTTTTTGTCATACAGATCTTTCACCGCTTTGGTTAATTTTATTCCTAATGTTTTGTTTTGTTTATGAATGATGTTATTCTTTATTACTTTTTCAGGTAGTTCATTGTTAGCATATAGAAATGTGATTGATTTTTCTGTGTTGATTCTATATCCTGAAACTTTAGTGAATTATTAGTCTAATTGTTGGTCGCATATTTAGTATTTTCTGTATGTAAGATCATATCATCTGCAAACAGAGACAGTTTTAACATTTCCTTTTCAATTTGGATACTTTTCTTTTTCTTGCCTAATCACTCTGGCTAGAACTTAAAGTACTATATTGAATACAAGTGCAAGAGTGGATACCTTTGTCTTATTCCTGATCTCAGAGGAAAGCTTTCAACTTTTCTCCACTGAGTATGATGTTATCTATGAGCTTGTCACATATGGCCTTTATTATGTTATAGTACATTGCTGCTATACCTAATTTGTTGAGAGTTTTTATTATGTAAAGATAAATCCATCAAATGCTTTTTCAGCATTGAGATGCTCATATGGTTTTGTCCTTCGTTCTGTTAATGTGGTATATCATATTTACCAATTTGTGTATGGTTAGCCATCCTTGCATCCCAGACCATCTGCTCACCTGGATCATCAGCCTGGTCCATCCTTTCTCCCAGTAAATAAGGGTCAGCTGTATATATCTAGCTGTGTTTGCCTCAGTTGACTTAGCTCTACGTGCCATCTATTGGCCTGTAGGTTAGGCCTCATAGCCCAATATAAAACCTGCTGATACATGTGCATAGGGCTATAGAATAAAAGTCAAAAGCCCCTACCCATCACCACTTGATCGTGGTGAATGATCCTTTTATTGTGATGTTGAATTCAATTTGGTAGTATTTTATTGAGGATTTCTGCATATTTTTTCATTGGGATATTGGCCTGTAATTTTCTTTTCTTGTAGTATTTTGGCTTTGGTACCAGGGTAATGTTGGCCTTGTAAAATGAATTTAGTTGAATTTAGCTGTGAAATCATCAGATACTGGGCTTTTCTTTATTGGAAAGTTTCTGATTACTGATTCAATCTCCTTACTCATTGTTGGTCTGTTCAGATATTTATTCATGATTCAGACTTGGTAGATTACATCTTTCTAGAAATTTATCAGTTTCATCTATGTCACTCAATTTGTTGGTATATAATTGTTCATAATAATCTTCTATGACCTTTTGTATTACTGTAGTATTAGTGGTAATGTCACTTATAATTTTACTTATATGAGTCTCCTTTCTTTTTTCTTAGTATAGCTAGAGGTTTGTCAGTTTTATCTTCTTCTAATAAAATACCAACCAGCACTGGATCTGAAATAAACTCTTAGTTTCATTGATATTTTTCTATTATTTTTATAGTCTCTATTTCATTTATTTCTGCCATTGAAACCAGCTCAATTGACCCATAGAACTGATGTTTATTGTTTCACATGAATAAACCAAGAAATTGACCTTCTCAGTATTAAAACTTGAGAAACTTATATTTTTCATATCTGAGTTCCTGTCTCAGGAAACCAATCCTTGGGCCTCCCAGATAGTATCAAGGAACTGAAACTTACCAGATCACCACATCTGGACATTGAGACACTGACCCCTCACCTGTCACCTGTTGACCAAGTCCTTCTTGTTCTTCCATTATTCTTGCTTTCCCACACAGTTACATTTCTTTTCTGCTATATAAACTCCTAATTTTAGTGTGTGAAAGAGATTAAAGTTGAGACCGATCTGTTCTCCTCGACACAGCACCCAAAAAAGCCTTCTTCCCTGGCAATACTCATTGTCTTTGTGATTGGCTTTCTCTGCAATGAGCAGCAGGACCTAGACTAAACCCTTGGCATTTTGATAACACTAATTTTTATTATTTCCCTCCTTCTCCTAACTTTGGTCTTAGTTTGTTTTTTTTTTTCTAGTTCCTTGTGATATAAAATTAGGTTATTTGAGATCTTTCTTCTTTATATATATGCATTTATTGCTATAAACTCTCTTAAATGCTTTTACTGCATGTATAAGTTTTGGTATATTGTGTTCCCATTTTTATCCCAAGATTTCAATTTTCCTCTTCATTTCTTCTTGACGTATTGGTTGTTAGGAGCTTGTTGTTTAATTTCCACATATTTGTGAACTTTTTAATTATCTTCCTGTTCAAAATTGTTATAGCAATTTCTTTTTTTAATAAAGCTTCATCTACTCTAATAATTTTAGAACTTTTCTGTGATGTGTTGCTCCAGAAATTGAAGCCTAGAGTAGAGCTTTGGAGTCAGACAGAAAGCCCAATTTTAAGTCTTGGTTGGCTAATAATCCTCAGACAGTTTTTCTTTAAGAAAGGTTCTCATTCTGTCATCTATGCTGGAATGTGATTGTGTGATCGTAGTTCACTGCAGCCTCTACCTCTTCAGCTAAAGGGTCCCTGCTTCAGCCTCCTGAGTAGCTAGAACTACAGGCCCATGCCACTGTGCACAGCTAATTTATTTTTTAAATTTATTTTTGAAATTTTTTATAGAGATGCACTCTCCAAGACCCAGGCTTGGTCTTGAATTCCTGAACTCAAACAATCCTCCCATTTTGGCTTCCCAAAGTGCTGGAATTACAAGTATGAGCCACGGCACCTAGCCTAGTTTTTAAACTTTTTAAAGTTTCACTTTGTACATACTTGAAAAGGGTACTACTTGAGAACCTACATAATAAGCATAATTGATTTAATGACATACATATAAATTATTTCCCAGTGACTGGTTCATATAGTGAATGCTCAGTAAGTAGTAGTTGTTACCATCCCATGTTGAATACCCTAATAAAAATGGAGTCAGCTGTGAGTACTGAGAAGATTATTTCTTTGCCATTAAATATGCTTCTTAATTATCTTTGTGCAGTCACTTTATATTCAGCCTTGGGTTCACCAAGATTCTTTATTTTTTTCCCACAGGGTTAATGTTACTTATTTTACACATAAATATATTTCCCTCTATGTACCTATCTAATCTAACTTTATTGACTTTTGAGCCCTAGCCCAGTTAACTGAGATTATTTTCTTTTGAATCTTTATTTTTAAAATACTGATCCTGGTTATTCTCCAAACTGGCACTAGAGGTATCCTGTTCAGAACAGCAAGGCCAAAGCATTTGACAATTTGTAATCTAGTGAAAACAAGGCTATTGAAAAGCTAGCCTGCCATGCTCTAAAGAAGCTCTGTAGGATAATTCTGAATCTTAAGGGGTACACAATTATATGAGTTGGTCAATCCCTGGAGAATTCAGGTGGGGAGATTACTGGCCTCAAATATTTCTTCCAATCTCTCCCTCAGTTCTCTAGAAACTGCCTGGACTTGAAATGGATCCCTTTTCTAGCTAAATTTTAGCACCCATTCAAAATGGTTCCAGGCCATAAAGATAAGGGCACTTTAGATTCTTGTATCCTGTTCTCATTCTCATAAGTATGTGTACAAATCAGTGAGTGGACATATTTGTTGTTCTATCATACTTATTTGTAACAGCCTTAGCACCATAGGTGTTGTACATCAGGATTTGGGAATGAGCCTAAGCGTTACTAGCCCCTGACAAATAGTACTGAGCTCTGTTTTTCTACTAGTGAAGAGCCCTATATTCAACTGATAACACTTTCCTTCGTTTTTAGGTGTTCAAAGCTCTTTATTTGAAGTTTTTTTAAAAAATGGAATGGGGTACAATCGAGTTAACACTGTCTTTATTTTTCAATGGAGATACACATTTTAGAAAACTTTTTTCTCACAAGAAAAGATATGTTTTAGATAGTTCATAGAGCTAAATTTGTTAAAACTATGGCAGTTATTTAATAATAATACAATATAGGTTTATGTATTTATATGTCTCCTTCTATAGGTTTCTTCAGTTTTTGGCGTGGCAATTTGGCAAATGTTATTCGGTATTTTCCAACACAAGCTCTAAACTTTGCTTTTAAGGACAAATACAAGCAGCTATTCATGTCTGGAGTTAATAAAGAAAAACAGGTAATTATATATATTTTTTTAACTTTTTCCTTCCAATATAGAAATTTTCTATCCAATGTAAATTTCCTGTCCAATGTAAATATATTTCAGTGTCTCTAAAATTTTCTTTAAAATGGTTAGATTGTCTTAACTGTGATGTTTTATTTGGGGAGAAGGTGCTCAAGTGGTGAGAAAAAAGAAGTATGTTTTGTTACAAAAGTCATAAAGAATCTTTTGTCTCAAGGCAATATTTCTTTGAATAAATATTATACTTAATGTAATTTCATCTTGTCACTGTTCTGCACTGAGGAAACACAGCATTTTGTCTGCTTATTTTAAACACAGAAAGAAATCAACAAGTACGTTGTACCTACTACTGAGGTAATTTATATAAAGAAGTAAATTATTTTTTGATAATGATTTATTTAACTGAGATTAAAGTGTGTAGGAAGTCAAAATTGAGTGAAACTGGAAAATGATAAATTTAACCCAGAGAATTCTTTTTATTGCAAAGATACTGTTTGGTTATTGAAGTAATTACTCCCTTGGTTACAAAATCTCAATTTCAAAATTTCTTATATAAACTACATGCCATTTATTCTGATTTATATTTGTTTTGTAGTATCCAATACACTATACTACCTACATTACCCCCAAGATCTTCCCCTCACTCTTACAAAATCTCTCTTACCCCTCATCTTCTCTTTTTCTTCCTGTCTCTCCTCATCTCCCACTCCTGCCCCAGCCAACCAAGCTGTCTTAGGAGGTTTTTAAAAGCAAATGTTTGTGGAACATTTCTTTGTTGCTGCCTCCTTAAATTTCCTTTTATGCTCTGTATTCCCTTTCTTCATTGTTTTATTTATTTTTTTTTAATTATTATACTTTAAGTTCTGGGGTTTCATGTGCAGAATGTGCAGGTTTGTTACATAGGTATACATGTGCCATGGTGGTTTGCTGCTGCATCTTTCACCCTGTCACTTACATCAGGTATTTCTCCTAATGCTATCCTTCCCCTATCTCCCCACCCCCTGCTATCCCTCCCTTAGCCTCCCACCCCCCAGCAGGCCCCAGTGTGTGATGTTCCCCTCCCTGTGTCCATATGTTCTCATTGTTCAGCACCCACTTATGAGTGAGAACATGTGGTGTTTGGTTTTCTGTTCTTGTATCAGTTTGCTGAGAATGATGGTTTCGAGCTTCATCCATGTCCCTGCAAAGGACATGAACTCATCCTTTTTATGGCTGCATAGTATTCCATGGTGTATATGTGCCACATTTTCTTTATCCAGTCTATCACTGGTGGACATTTGGGTTGGTTCCACGTCTTTGTTATTGTGAACAGTGTTGCAATAAACATACGTGTGCATGTGTCTTTATAATAGATTTATAATCATTTTCTTAACAGTTTCTTATTGAATACTTTGCTCTGTCTTTTGGCCAGTGTGGAGAGGTGGGGTAAGGGGGCACAGGTAGAAAGGTAACTAGGAAAATTCCCTAGACTTAGAATTGGAAGGTTTAGATTTGGATCTTGGTTCTCTGTTTATTTAGCTACATGAGATTTTTTTTTTTACTTTTATTTTAGATCTGGGGGTGCATGTGAAGGTTTGCTGTATAGGTAAACTCATGTTACAGGGTTTTCTTGTACAGATTATTTCATCACTCAAGTATTAAGCCTAGTACCCAATAGTTATTTTTCCTGCATCTCTTCCTCCTGAAACCCTCCACCCTCAAACAGACCCGTGTCTTTTTGTTCTTTGTGTTCATAAGTTCTCATCATTTAGCTCCTACTTTTAAGTGAGAACATGCAGTATTTGGTTTTCTGTTCCTATGTTAGTTTGCTAAGGGTAATATCCTCCAGCTCTGTTCATATTCCCACAAAAGACATTATTTCATTCCTTTTTATGGCTGTATATTATTACATGTTGTATATGTACCACATTTTCTTCATCCAATCTGCCATTGATGGGCATGTAGGTTGATTCCATGTCTTTGCTATTGTGAATAGTGCTACAGTGATCACTTGCATGCATGTGTCTTTATACTAGAATGATTTATGTTACTCTGGGTATATATCCAGTAATGATACTTCTGTTTTTAGCTCTTTGAGGAATTGCTATACTGCTTTCCACAATGGTCCAACTAATTTACACTCCCAAGCACAGTCTATAAATGTTCCCTTTTCTCCACAACCTCACCAGAATCTGTTATTTTTTGACTTTTTAACAGTAGTCATCCTGACCATAAGATGGTATCACATTGTGGTTTTGATTTGCATTTTTCTAATGATGAGTAATATTGAGCTCATTTCATTTGGTTGTTGGCTACATGTATGTCTTTTTTTGAAAAGTATCTGTTCACATCCTTTGCCCATTTTTTAATGGGGTTGTTTTTCTGTTATAAATTTGTTTAAGTTCCTTATAGATGCTAGATATTAGACCTTTGTCAGTTTGCAAATATTTTCTCCCATTCTGTAGGCTGTCTATTTACTTGTTACTGTCTGTTTACTGTTAGTCTGTAAATAAACTGTTGACAGACTAACAGTAAACTGTTGACAGTTTGTTTTGCTGTGCAGAAGAAGCTCTTAAGTTTTACTAGATCCTATTTGTCAATTTTGGCTTTTGTTGCAATTGCTTTGGTTATCTTTTTCGTGAAATCTTTTCTCGTTCCTATGTCAAGGATGATATTGCCTGGATCATCTTCCAGGGTTTTTATAGTTTTAGGTTTTACATTTAAGTCCTTAATCCATCTTGATTGATTTTTATATGTGGTGTAAGGAAGAGGCACAGCTTTAATCTTCTGTATATGGTTAACCAGTTATCCCAGCACCATTTATTGAATAAGGAGTCCTTTTCTCACTGCTTGTTTTTGTAAGCTTTGTCAAAGATTAGATGACTGTAGGTGTGCAGTTTTATTTCTGGGCTCTCTATTCTGTGGCATTGGCCTATGTGCCCATTTTTGTCTTAGTACATACCATTTTGGTTACCTTAGCCCCATATTATAGTTTGAAGTTAGGTAACATCAGATGCCTCCAGCTGTGTTCTTTTTGCTTAGGATTGCCTTGGCTATTCGGGTTCTTTTTTGGTTCCATATGAAGTTTTAAACAGTTTTTTCTAGTTCTATGAAGAATGTCATTGGTAGCTTGATAGGAATAGCACTGAATCTGTAAATTGCTTTAGGAAATGTGGCCTTTTTTTTTTTTTTTTTTTTGAGATGGAGTCTCACTCTGTCATCCAGGTTGGAGTGCAGTGGCATTATCTTGGCTCACTGCAACCTCTGCCTCCTGGGTTCAAGCAATTCTCCTGCCTCAGCCTTCCAAGTAGCTGGGACTACAGGTGCATGCCACCACCATACCCAGCTAATTTTTTTGTATTTTAGTACAGATAGGATTTTAGGTTTTACCATGTTGTCCACCTGCCTCTGCCTCCAAAGTGCTAGGATTATAGGTGTGAGACATGGTGTCTCGCCTATTGTGGCCATTTTAATGATATTGATTCTTCCTACCCACGAGCATGGGATATTTTTACATTTGTTTGTGTCGTCTCTGATTTCTATGGGCAGTGTGTTGTAATTCTCATTACAGCTAGTGCTCGACTTATGACCACGGTTGGGACCGCGGACCGGTCGTAACACGATTTGGTCGTAAGTTGAGTAGGCTATATGTACAGTTGAAATGGTGCACGCGGAGATGGTAGTGCTGCCGGAAGCTGGTCCACACTGTTGTACGCCCAGCTGGGCGACGTTTGTGCTGCCAGACACGGAGCAGTTGTGGCTAGCAATTGTGGTCGTAAAGTCGAATGGTCATAAGTTGCACAGGTGGTAAGTCGATCAATACCTGTATAGAGATCTTTCACCTCCCTAATTAGCTGTATTCCTAGGTATTTCATTCTTTGTGACTGTATGAGATTTTAAAAGTTGGTTTACTTCTCTGATCCCTAGTTTCCTCATCTAAAAATTGGGCATAATAATACCTATCTCATAGTTTAATTGTGAGGTTTAGATGAGATTACATGTGAAGTGTGTAGCATAGTGCCTTGCTTTATGACAGGCATTCAGTAAAATGTTTCTGCCTCTTAAACTGACAGCTCTAATAATTGGAATTTCCCTTGACTCAGATTATTTGTTCCACAGTGTCGGGGTCTCCAAAACTATCGTCAGGTTCATTGAGTCACTAGAAGGATGTATAAAACTTAGCAAATCTGTTATTCTGTGGTTTATTAAAGCAAAGGTATTCAAATTAAAATCAAAGGGAAAAGGCACACAGGGAAGAGACCAAGAGAAACCAGGTGCAAGTTTATAATTGTCCTGTTCTGTTGAATCATATGGACAGAATACTAACTTCCCAAGATCCAAAGTAAGCTTACCCAATCCTTGGTGTCCAGGGTTTTTCTTTGGGATCAGTATCATAGACATGGAATGTGACTGACCTTAGCTACACAGTCTCTGGTCCCCTTCCAGAGAACAAACTCATGCAGCTTAGTACAAAACCCCAGGCTTAAACAAACAAGTGTTTATCATAAATCACAATATTAGCACAAACTCTCCCAAGTGAATCACTCATCTTAGTCCCTTATAGATCTTGAAACAGTCCTCTAAATTGGCTCCTGCCCTTTTCATTTGCAGTCAGATGAGCATCAGTTGCTCATCCAGCAACCCACCAGGAGGCGCATCTGCCTGTGACCCCAGAGACAAGCCTAAAGAGCTTGATCTCAAGAGACCTAAAACAACCCTGTTACTTGGTTCCAGCCCCTGTCAGCCATGGACCAAGTCATTACTGCCTTCCCAGGACTCACCCAGTCATCTAATGGAAGTGGTTCCAGAGATGGGAGGAAACCACATCCATCAGTACATCTAGTAACAGGCCTACCATCAATGAAACATGATGCAGACCCTCATCCTAGCACCAACTCACAGTCCATGGTTCTTGAGACAGTCCAATTCAGCCAGGATCTAGATAGGATATGTGCTTACTACAGTTTTTAGTAACAGGCCCACCAATTGCATTCTTCACTGTGGACTCAGCAGCA